TTAGATCCTCTGGGTAAGCTCTGGATGTCAGGACTCATGGGGCAGCGGGGGCCTGGTCAGCATTGCTATGCAGATCACGGCTGCGTGCCTCGTCATCGGCGCGAAGAAGCCCTGTTGGTCCAACACGTCGCAGGTTTTCATTTGCAGCGTTTTGTAATGTCTCACATTACCAACTGTCATGACCTAGCCAATGCGTTTGCGTCCCGCAGTTGGTCTTGCATGAGCACGACTATGCATCAGATGTTTCGTCCAGGCTCGGAGTCGTTTGGACGTCAGCGCTATCAACTAGCTACAGTTACCCTTGCAGGTTGTGATTGCGATATCACTCTTAGGCCTTGGTGTGGAGGCTTGATGGGGGGCGGGCTCGCTGTGCGGAGCTTCGTTCAAACGTTCGCCCCCGTCGTCGAGGCGCGGCAGGATAGGCAAAGAGGATGGGGCCCCTACGTGGATCAGCTCGTTGTTCGGTCGCCGCTGGGAGGGGAGGTGGATCTTTCTCTGGCTAAGTATGCCGACGATCTCGCTAAGAAGCTGATTGGAGGCCGTAGTGCGTCTGCTGCTTCGCTTGCCATCGCCAGCTCCTACTCGAACCAAGACTTAGATGCGTGTCTGGGTCCTGCAGGGTATAAACAGAATCTGACAAAGCAAGATACTCTTTGAAGTTTGTTTGGGCGCGGAGTTGGATCCGCTTATCAGGTGATTCGCTATGGGGAAGTTCGCTTTCCGGGGAAACCGTCGCAGCTGGTCAAAAGTCTTGGGGCCATGATGGGGACTTCATCTCTCAACTTCGGTCAGGAGCTTAAGGCGCGGCTGGCGGCGGTCCGAGCTGGGTGGCATTCACTCGGGTATGTTTGGCATCTTGCTGGAGTGCCGCATCGTTTCCGAAGATGTATGTTGCTATGCAAAGTGTATAACACTGCACTGTCAGGTCTGGAGGCCTTTTTTTGCCGTCGCCTGCTGATTTCGCGAAGCTCACGAGTACGGTTGCATCGTACGCACGCAAAGCCATGCGAGGTGCTGCCTGTGACCGTGATGCTGAGGGACACCCACGTTCGCCCTCTAATCTTGAGGTTCTAAAATGGTGGCGTCTGGTACCTATTGATCTTGAGGCCCGTATTCGCCGTCTGCGTCTACTCCAGGAATTCGTAGGACATCCTGAGGATCATAGGCAAGTCTTGGGGGCTCTTCTTGGCACTTATGGTGGCGGTGGCAAGGGGCCCCTCTATGCTGTGTTCACCCCTTCTGGTTGTCTGGAGGCTACGGCTCACCCGTGGGTTCGGAGGCTCTGGGAAGATCGCAAGACCTTAAACGTTCTGGACGAGGGGGGGGGGGGGGCCTGCTGGACTATCTCGATGGGCGCGGGAAGATTTCCTACGTATCGATATGAGACAATTGAGGAGTATATTATATTCGGTTTCGGTTGCCCCACCTAATCATGTACTGAATCTGGAATGCAATGTTCCTGAGCCTCCTGTCCCTGTGTTTGGACGTGATGGTGTCTATATTTGTCAGCTTACTTGTAAGGATGGGACGGTGTGTAATGCTGTCCTTCCCGATCGGCGTGCGGTTCATACACGTATTGTTGCGCGACATGGTCACCGGATGGTTGCTCATGTTATTGCTCTCAGTAATCAGTGTCCCGTGTGTAGAACTATATTCAGTTCTCAGGTTACGTCTCGACGGCATCTTTTGCCATCGCGTGCTCGGGGGTTCTGCAGACCAAATGCCTCTCGCAACTTGGCTCCGCTTGCCGCCCCCTCGACGTTGCAGTGCCCCTTGTGTGACGTGGCCATGGGCTCGTTTCAGGCGCTGCAGAAGCACTTGATCTCTCATCTACATCCCTGTCCGCCCCCTGCGCCACCTGCCACAGATGGGCGGCGCCCCGGCCTGGATGGCCAAGGTCGCGAAGTCTGCGGACGATCAGGGCGGCGACAGAAAATCCAAGGTCGTCGCAGAGGCTCGTGCCAAGGGCGGCGACATTCTGCGCCAGCTGGTGGCGATCCTCGTCAAGTTGAGCTTGGCCAACAGCGCCGAGCTTCGCGACGTGCGCGGAGTCGTATACATCACCTTTCTCATCAAGTCCGACCAGCCCTCGATGAAGGCCGCGCGCGACGCAGGCCAGAGTTACCACGCCGAGGTGCAGCGTCGCAAGCAGGCCAGCGAAAACCTCTCCACGCTCGGCCCGCCTTACGTGCAGATCTGGTGCGCCCTCGTCAAAGCGATCGGGGCCGACCCGAACTGCAGCGACGAGGTGCGCAAGAGCATCGAGGCCTACTGGAGGGACGTGCTGGTGCCTATGCCGCTCGAGAAAGTCGGAGAACACGTTCGCCACTGCCGCGTCCGCAAAACCCGCAAGGTCGAATCGAAGGACGAGCGGATGCGCTTGACTTTTGCCGTGGACGGGGAGTTCATGCCGCTGGAGAGGACCCTGGTCACCTACTTCTCGTCGGCGGCGGTGGCAGGCGAGCACAAGCTGGGCCCAGCCCCCCGCGGCGCGCTCGAGCGCGAGGCATCCCGCCTCCTGGAGAAGCTCGGCGAGGGCAGGAAGGAGAAGGAGAAGAAGGAGCAGGAGGAGGCCTGAACGTGACTTCTGGAGTATTGCATGAGAATTTGATTGGCTCTCAGTCTTCTGGAGTATTGGCTTCTCAGGAGAATTTTATTGGCTCAGCGTCGTCTTCTGGAGTATCGGGGTCTGCAGAGATTTTGACTGGCTCAGCTTCTGGAGCATTGCCTTCGAAGAATTTGATTGGTCAGTCTTCTGGAGTATTGACTCCTGAGAGTGTGATTGGCTCGCAGTCTTCTGGAGTATTGCCCAATGAGAATTTGATTGGCTCGTCGTCTTCTGGGGTATCGCATGTCCCTGAAGTTCGTGCTGTGCGTTCTGCGGATATACTCGTTCACGCTGATCCGCCCCCAGAGGTTCCTGTGCAAGGCCCCGCTCCAGTAGCGTTCCCAAGTTCTGAGGCCAGTCGCTCTTTTACGAATGGGGGTGAGGGGATGGGACCTGTGTCCGTCAGTGCTGCTTTGCCGAGAGCTCCTCTCCCCCCGAACTTAGCGTGTAGTCAGCGTCTCGCCGAGTTGGTCGCTCGCGGTGTTTTCCGTTCGAACCCTCCTCCTCGGCCTGAGCTTCTTCCTCGTCCTCCTCCTGGTCTGCGGCCAATTCATGAGCTTTCGGATTCTTTCGTGCCGATGCCTCGGCGCTCCCGTCGTTCGAGGCCTCCTCGGCCGCCGTAGGGAATTCGGGTCTGTATGGAGTGGTGCCCATCACCCCCCTCGCTGGTATCCCCCAGCTTTCGGGCGGCTCGAGGGTCTCAGGTGGTGCCCCCATCAGCAGCGCCCGCTGGTGAGGGAAGTCGCGGATTTTACCGCCACTCAGATGCTACTTTTTAGTGCCGCCGCCGTCATGCAGTGGGCAGCATCCGAGAGTTGTTGCTTGCTTGCTTGCCCCCCCCCCCTCCCCCTCCTCCCAAAAAGCAGCTGGCGGCGCACTACCTGATGAGAAATGGAGGGACCCACGGAAAGCAGCTGCTCGGTAGAATGTGTTGTGTACCTCGTCAGCGTGTTATATGTGGTTCGAATTTCTCGTCGATCGATTACGCGAAGCGGCACATGCATCAGAGTTTATTAAAGGGTAGACGTGTATGTGATCAGGGCCGCACAGATGGTAGAGTATTACTACCGCGAACTTTCGAATGTCCTGCCTGCGACTACACTGCGAGCGACATTGGCGACCTCCGTAGACATATCTTGGCTGATCACCTCCAGCAACACCTTCACACTCACGTTCTTGAGATCGAAGTTCCTGGGCTTGAGGTGAGCATATTATTCTATCGTCAAGAGGATGCTAGACTGGCTCATGGCTAGGACACTGGGCAACCGAGCAGCAGAGGAAGGACAGCCCAGCGATGGGGACCAAGGCCAAGTCGGCCAAGGGAGTGGGCAAGGGAGATGAGTCACACGCCAACGCCAGATTCCTTCGGCAGCTGGAGACCACAGTCCGCACGCTGGAGTTCGGAGCGGGCCTCGCGGTGTACGGGCCCAGCGACGCGGAGATAGTGGCGGTCCTCAAGGGCACGTACGCGGAGTACCAGAAGAAGACGGAGGGCAAGGCAGGGACGCACGGTCTCGGCCCTCCAGACTTGCAGAGTTTTGCCGCGCTTCTGAGCGCTTTCAACGTCTGGCTCGAGAAGCAGGGCGCGGCCCAGGATTCGGTCAAGAACCTAGCGGATGTGCCCAATCGGCTCCGCCTGATGAAGCAGAAGAACGACGTGTCCACGGCGCCGACCTGGGTCAAGGAGTGCAGCACCAGCAACACCCAGGACTCAGCCAGTTCGAAGATCACGGTCAAGGTGGTAGGCTCTATCATACTGCCCGACCCGCGCGCCCAGGGGCCGAACCTGCTCGAGGAGCAGGAGACCCTCTGGAGAACCATCGAGGACCAGGCCGCAAAGCCAGACGAGAAGGCAGTCGCGGCGGGACGGGCGATTAGGTCGCCTCGAGAGTTAAAGGGAGTAGGAAAGGTAACAACAGTCGAGCAGGTGTTTCTTCCGCTTCTCAGGGCAGCAGGCTGCAACAATAAGCCTGGCCGAACCCCCCGAGGCAGGCTAGTTAGGCAGATCAAGCTAGATAGTGTCGGTTGGGGGACTGGGGGGGTCCTGCGTGCCCTGGATGGAGGAGTGGCCTTTGAGTCCCTCCGTCCCGAGGCTGTGGGCCGCCTCCCAGTCGGTCCAACTTCTCTGGTTTCCAAGGCCCGCCCCGTGTGGGGTGTACCCGCGCTTCGGCGGGACACAGATCCACCGCTTTGGGGAGTTCTCCTCTTCAGAAGTGTGGGCCCCCCCAATGTGGAGATCTCAGGCTAAACAGGCCTGGCCCAGAGTAGCAGCGGTGTAGTGAACCCGAAGTTGAGCTCGAATGGGACGGAACGGAACGGAACTTCTCCTCCTCCTCCTCCTCCTCCTCTTCCTCCTCCCCCTCCTCGGGTCGCCTGCGGCCCCGGGGCACACCATGCACCCTCCTTCCCCCTCCCCGCCCCCCCCCCTCCCCCCCATGCGCCCTGCAGGCTGCTCTCCGGCGAGCCTGCGCCCCTCCGCTCTGCGCCCGCGCCTCTCCTCGCCCCCTCGGGCGGGCCGAGGGCGCGGCGGGGCGTCGCGCGGCCCGTGCTTCTGCGAGGCCGCGGCGGGGATCTGTGCTTTCCCGGGGGCGGCCAAGAGGGGGGTGATGACTAGGGAGGCGGGGAGGGGGGTCATGACTAGGGGGCGGGGATACAGCCCAAGACGCTGAAATAAGGAACAGTTTGGATTCGGAAGGGGCTGGGTGTTCCCCAGTTCCTTCCATGGTTGTTCCTCTGGCCCTTCTCGTGCACCCGGGCTTTTCTGAAACCGCAGAGGGATTTCGTTCTTTGTTTAGCGTTCTTTATTTCAGCAGCCCGACTGTATCATGGCGGGGGCCATGATATCTCCCCTCATTTCGTGGCGCCTCTCCCTGTTTCCTTACGTCCTTGGCCCCCCCCGTAGGCCGCGCACGTGCCGCCGGCCATGATTTGCACCCCCCCTCCTCTTGGACGCCTCCCTTTTGGCCGCCCCCGGCACTTGGCGGCGCGCCCATGCCGTAGAGGGGCCGACGGCGATGCAGGTGCTGGCGATTCCGATCTCGGTATCGTGGGGACGCGTGGCCCGTGCTGCGCCTTCCTACGATCCGCTGTGGCGTTCTCGTTCGCTCCATGCGCAGATTGGCACTGCAGGGAAGTGTGGTTTGCGATTTCCTGCAGTTTGGTTTCCAGCACCACCGTTGAGCAGCATCGCCCTGAGCCCGGCCTTGGCCACGGGTGGGCCAGGCGGGGGAAGATCGACGTTTTTTTCCGCACTGTTTTTCGCTTAGCTTAAGTCGGGCCTGTCCCTCTACAGGGGGAATATTCAAAAATAGTAAAAAATAGTCGGGGGACTATTTTTTTGTCTATTTAGGGCCTGTTTCGAGTATTTTCTGAGTATGGCTTATTTTTCGTCCAAAACCCCCCTGTAGGGTGACACGCCCGACTTATTGTTTGTCGCTTGGCGGAGGTTGTCCAGCCTCGGGTTCCAAGCAGTGGCGAAGCGTCCCGGCTCGCCTATAGGCATACCAAATAATGTTATAATAACTTTCTGTGGTCTGCACACCATGTTTTTCTTAGAACATGTCTGGCTGAGACTGTCGTGTTTGAACACATCGGGTTTATGTTCTAAGAATATTGCTGTTGTTTTGTCTAACATCTTCCGATTCTAAGAACATCTCGTGGTAGGCCTATAGGAATGCATGGACGGTCGGTCCCTGCTCAACAGAGGTGTCGTTGGCATTGTATGCCCTCCGCTGGCTCCAAGCACCTCGGACCGGGGCAACGTAGGACTCGAGTGCGCCAGAAATCGGGATTGCCAGCGCGTCCTGGATTCTGACGGTCCAGTCTCCGCGGGATGTTTTTTGCAGGAGGTTCACGGTGCTTCCCGAGCTGGGGATGGGGGGCGTTTCGAGCGAAGAGGGGGGACCACACCACCAGGCGGATCCCTTCTGGCTCGGCGGCATGCCCGGGGGTGATGGCAGAGGGGGCGGGCCATCTGAGAAGGCTCAGAAGGCCTCCGGCCTTCTGAGGCCACAGGGGGCCTCGCAGATTTGCCAGAGGGTTTCTGAGGAGGCCCGCCGCCTTCTGAAAAGGCTTGCCGCGCCGCCTAATTAGCCCCTTTCGCCTCCTCCGAATCGACTCCACGGGGACTTTTTCAGAAGGCCAGCCCCCCCTCACTTTCCCTTTTGCGCGCCGCCGATACATATCCACAGTCTGGGATCAAATGGCAACAAATGCATCAGCATAATTTTTTGGAGGCCCGCCAGGGTTTTTCGGATCTGCGCTGGACCCTTCTGGGAACGCCTCCGTCACCGCTCCATCGCAGGTCCAAGGAGCTCGCGCGGACCTTCGAAAGATTATGCTTATATTGTTTTTCTCTTTTTTGCGAGGCGGAGCATCTGGATACCTCTGAGCACCCTGGAAGCCCAACTGTATCCACATCCCCCCCCTGGGGTCCTGGGAGATCGGCTCCCCGAGCGGTGGGTGCTGCGTGCGCACGACCTTGACGGTGTTTTGTCGATCTCGTGGACCGACTTCGTTTTGATTTCGTTTTGCAGCAAAGGCGGAGCGAAGACAGCACGAGGGGAAAACGAAAACAAAACGAGAACGGAACATACCGTTCAGGTCGAGCCCTGTGCGTGCGTACAGATCGGGGTCTCGGGCGCGAGGGGTTCTGCAGTGCGCTGCAGCGGCCGAGTGAGGTCGTTGCACAGCGCTGTGGCCCAGCCAGGCATGCACGCAGGGCGGCCACGGTTTTCAACGGTCCGCCGTCAGCGCTACTTTTTTCGAAGAGGAACAAAACGCCATAAACATATACTTTTGGCGATCCGCTCGGATTTCTTGAATCCGCGCTGGGACCCCCCCGGGCGGCGCCTCTGGCGCCGCCCCTGGCGCGCCAGGGGGGGGTCCCGCGCAGGTCCAAGAACTCCGCGCGGAGCGCCAAAAGTTTATGTTTATGCCGTTTGTTGTTCCTCTCTTTTTAGTCCACGATCAATCTATTTCTGATGCATGTGGCGCGGCCGGCTGCGCCTCCTCGCTTCCACTCCCTCCCTCGAAGGCCGTTCCTCGCCCCCTCCCTCGAAGGCCTTCCGGTGAGCCTCCTGCCTCTCCTCGAAAGGACCCCTCCCGGAGGCGACGGAAAGCCTTTCCTCGTGCATCCTGCACGACGGCGCGCCCTGCTTCCGCCGTGCAGCTGCCACTGCTGCCCCCCCTCCGACAGGGAACACCGCCGCCTGCACACGGTACTCAACCCACGCCACTTGCCCCCGTAGGCAGACAGCCGAGGCGCCAGACAGGAGGGGGTTTTGGTCCCCAGGCCACTGTGCAGGTCTAGGTCGGGGAACTTGTTCGTGGCCGAGCGTGTTCTCTAACCAAGTTTTGCCGTTTTTGTTGCCGGATCCGACGCCGTTCTTTTTCCGGTTCTGTCGCCTTTTGTTTCACCGTTTCCCGCTCCGGTTCCAATCCTGAATTTTTTTTTTTTTCATTTTCATGTTCAAGAGATGTTTTTCGGAAACGGAGAACCCCCCCCTCCCCCCCCGTAACCTTCCCTTCCCTGTAGTGCCCCCCCGGCGCTGCCATTGTGATGTTCGCAGGCTGCTGTGGTGCTTGCAGGCTACTCTAACGTTCAAGGCCTGGCATGGCGTTGACCGACTCACCGCCCGTGCTCGCAGACGTGGAGCTACGCTCGCAGGCTCTCGTGGCACAGGCACGGTCCAGCAGTGTTGTGCGCACGAGCGCGCGAGGTTCACGCAGTATTCTGGTGCTGGCAGGGCCGCGAGAGCTGCGGTAGTGGTATTGATGGCAGAGGTGGTGGCAGGAGTCGTAGCAGTAACAGGATATCAGGAGGAGGAGGAGGAGGAGGAGGAGGAGGAGGAGGAGGAGGAGGAAGGAGGGTGGAGGGCGACGGGGTGTCGTAATCGTCGTCGTGGTTGGTCATCTTGTGGCCGTGGTGATCGTTGTCGTCATTGCCGTAACCGTCGTCGTCATAGACATCGTCGTGGCGTTCGTACTCGTCGTGGTCGTAGTAATAGTCGTCGTCGGCGTGTGGTCGTCTTTGTGACCGTCGTCGTGACAATCGTAGTCGTCGTAGTCCATGTAACCGTCGCGATCGTCGTCATAGTCGTCTTGATCATCGTCTCGCGGTGCTCGCATGCTACCAGGGTGTTCACCTGTATTGTGCGTGCTTCTAGGCACCAATGTGGTCAGCCTCTTCTTTCGGGCCGAGTGGCGCCCAGACCCCTCCAAGAACCCATTTCTATGACAGAAGCATCATCGACGCAGGGGTTGTGGTGTACGCAATCGCTGTGGTGCACGCAGGCTTCGCGGTGTGCGCAGGCGCTGCAGTGAACGCGGTGCTGTGGTGCACGCAGGCGCCGTGGTGCACGCAAGCATTCTGGCGCATGCGTGCAGCAAGCGTCTGGACAGGCAGCGTGGTACAGAGTTGGGCTGTGGGCGGTAGAAGCAGAGCAGCGTATCAGCCTTAATCTCGGAGATTGATAGACCTCCTACCCTGACACGTCGATTAGCGAATTGGCCGTTTTCGGTTCGCGAGAGGGCGTCGCGGCCGTCATTTTGACGGGTCCAGGTCGGTCGGTTTCGGTCCTAGGCAGTTTTCCTCCTTAAATGAAAGTTTACTCAAGGGAGGTTTGTCCACCGCCGATAGAAGCAGAGCAGCGTATCAGTCTCTATCCGAAAAAGTAGATGCAGCACAGTGGCAGCAAACACCAGCACAGAATAATGAATGCTCGATGGGGTGGTGTGAATGAAAAATCATTGTGGTGCACACATGCGTTGCGCAGTGCACGGGCGTTGCGGTGCACGCGGCTGCAGTGGTGCATATTGCGTTGCGCGTTGTGGTGCATGTTGTAATGCGCACAGGCGCTGTGGTGCCAGAGCCACACGGCAGGTGAGGGGGGCGTTACGTTAAGCCCCCCCCCCCCCTTCCGCTCCCCCTCATAATTCCCGCTATGGCCGCGAAGAAGCAAATGCGCTCGCCGAGGCTTGCTGTGGCCAGAAAAGCCCCTTTGTTCCTCACTTGGCATTCCTCATGGCAGCACGATGATTGTATTCAGCCCACGCCACCCACCCCTCCTGGCACACTCTACCAGACGTCCACTGCAGAGTTGCACTGGCGACCCCTGGGCGCACGCTGGTCGCATCTGTTATAGGTGCCGCACGGCCGACTGCCGAGCAGTTCGTTCGCGGCTTCCCTGCCGCGCGCGGGCACCGCGTCGGCGCGTTGCGAGGGGTATGTTTTGGAATTTCTGCTCAGGCCCATCAGGGTTCCAGAGCGGGCGTCGGAGGGCAGGCTGGCCGGAGGCGGGTGCCTCTTCTCTTCTTGGTGGGTTGTGTTTTCTGCTGCCACCGCCGGCTGGCCATCTCACCCCCAGGCCTCTGATTTCGTCACTTCTCCACGACGTTGGGCGTTCCCAGGGGCCAGTTCCTTCACTGCGTTTTTGGTTGTCTGGGGGCCAAAACTGCCCCTCCGCCCCAGGGCCGAGGGTCCGGACAGAAACGCCCATCGCAGCTTTCCGTGCAGCCCAGAGGCTTGGGAACTCCCAGCGTGCAAGTGCCGCGACGCACCTGGGCGACGCAGAGAACGCCGGGGCGGCCGCGTGAAGGCTCAGGAGGTCGGGCGGTCGCAGGCATGGGGCAAGGGGGGGGGGCGTGGATTACAGTCGACCCGCAGAGTAAGGATAGGCATCCCTCCCAAGGGTACCCTTGCATCCTTGCCTCCTGGGTCTATCCTTGGACACTTTCGTTGGCCGCGCCCCGCTCGAAACGCTTCGAAATGGGCGTCCAAGGCCCTTGCATCCTTATTGCGCATCCTCACTGTCCGGGTTGACTGTAGCGACGGGCCTCGCTTCCTTGGGAAATCACGGCTTCCCGCCGCCGAGCGAGGCGGCACTGGCCGCATTTGGGGGAGGGCACCACCTCCCCCGATCCATGGATTTGGCGATCGCGTGCCACATCCGTGGGTCGCTAATCCATGTTCGCGCGCCCCCGATTCTCAGAAGGCTCAGAAGGGCTCTGTCCTTTTGATCATCTTTCCAAGCCTTCTCCGATTCCCCGCCGCCTTCTGAGAATGCCTACCCCCTTTCACTTCCCCCATCGTCGCGCCGCCGAATTTTTCTTCGTCGTGCACGTGTCGCCCCGACACGGACTCGACGCGGACAGGGGCGCGACGGGACAAGCAAGATCCCCCGAAGATGCAACACAATCTGTTCACGGGGGCACCTACCCCAGTCCGTGGACCTGGCGCCATAGACGGGGCATGGTCAACGGGGGCATCTGGGAAAGCCCCAACCCCCGTTTGCGAGCCCCGAGTCAGGCGGCACTGGCAGGTCTGCGGGGGCACCTTTCCCAGCCCGTGGACCTTGCGCCCGCGCGCCAGAGCCACGGATCCGCAAAGCCATCCTTGCGCCTGCCCCGATAAGCATTTGGCGCTTCGAGCCCTTCGCTCCCGCCACGTGCCTGAGCCAGGAGGGAGGCCAGCAGGAGAGAAAAGAAAGGGCTCGGGGTCACACAAAGAAACATACTCAAACTTCAGGATTCCCCATATTTGATATAGGTATTTATATGTGTGTGTATCTATACATGGATTGTGTTTCTTTCTGGAGGTTTGTCAGCCCCTTTCCAATTCGGGACGCTTCGCGTAACCCCACCAGTTGGCTCGTAGCCCGGGCTGACTTCGGACGCCGCCTGCGCTTCCGCTTGCGGCCACGACGGAAAAAAAGTACCCCCACCAGCCCATCCAGAGACGATGCCCAGAGGAGTTGCCTCGTTCAGGGAAGTAGGCAGCACACAGAAAAAGGGTTCCTCTTGGAGCTCTCTTGGGACGCTCTTGGGCGTTCTTGGGGCCGTCTTGGGGCCTCTTGGGGGCCACTTGGGCACCTTTGGGGGCCTCCTGGACGCCTCTTGGGGCCCTCGTGGGGCGCTCTTGTGAGCCTTGAGGGCGCTACTGCAGCCATCTTGGAAGGGCTCGAGTAAAGAAGGGGGGTCCTCACTTAGCCTCCCCCCTGGGAGCTCCAACAATCTTCTTTCGAACTTTTCTTGGCTCGCTTTTTGGGGTTCTCTTGGGCCTCTCTTGCGGCCCTCAGGAGCCCTCTTGGAGCTGTCTTGAGGCCTCGGAATGTCATTGGAAGCGAAGCGGCGACAAGACAACACTCATTCATGTTCCGTAAGCTGTTGAAGGATTTTTGCCTCGGCGGCTTCGTGGGGAGGCTCCGTGGCCACTCGCAGCCGTCTTGGAGCGGTCTTAGGGCCTCTTAGAGCATCTTGGGCGTCATATTGAGCCATATTGGGCTGTCTTGAGCCAGCTTGGAGGTCATCTTGGTCTCTCTGAGGCCCTCCTACAGCAATTCCAGGCACGGTGGCGGTGGTGTGCGGATGCCCTCTGCATGTCTCCTCACGTCGACACCGCGCCACCTTCAGCGTGGCCCCCACGGCGCCGACGGGTCTGGCGGCATCTGCAGCGCCCCGCGGATCGCGCTGCCCCAGAGGCTGGACGTGAGCCCCGCCCGAGAGCGCCGCCCCCTCCGACTGGAATTCACACCCTGTTTTGGCGGCGCCACAGCCTGTCACGCTTTCAAATGTTTGCTCGCGCCGGGCCGAGAGGGAAGCCCGCCGGCACCGCGGGACCTCCACGAGTGAGCCGCGCGCCCAGCTCGGGGCGCACGCAACGCGGGTCAGCCAATCAATCTCCTTCGATTCCCTCGGGCTGACGCGGGTTGCG